AGCCCTCCGTCCAGCAACTCAGTCCCTCGGGGAGTTTGGATGTATCCATGGGGCCTCCACGACCTTTCCTTGTACAGGTTGTGTTAGTTTCCCCAGTTTTTAGTCTCTTAATGGACTAACTTTTTATTACATAGTAAAAACTTATCAGTATATTTTAAATTAGATGACAGGGATTTTGTTCATATTCGTAGTTTCCAATATTACAGAATTTATAAAGCCAAATGTTTGCTTTTATCCCTTAGCCACCTCAGTGAACTCCTATAAATCTTAAGACCTCTGGTTCTCATCTCTGCTTTTGCTTTCAGACTTCTGCTTCCCTGGATTTTTACACCTCCAATGTCCCACTTCCACATGACACCATTTGCAGGGCTATAAACATGTTGCATTGTTATTCTTGACAACAATGTGATTTTCATGAAATAAGTGTGATTTATGCCTAAGGTGATTCGGTGGTTTTGTCTATTTAACCTTGTGCTCAATAAGCGTGTGCGCACGTGTCCATGTGTGTTTACATAATTGTACGTGTAATGTTTAAAGAAACAATTCTTAACTTTATTATTAAAGCATGCTCTTGTATTTTCTATTCTGTATTCTACTCGATTAAAAACGTGCTGGTTTTAACCCACTAACTGATTATAAACCAAAATCACCACCTGCTGTTAAGTCAATTATAACTCATGGTGACCCTGTGTGTGTCAGAGTAGAACTGTGCCCTGTAAGGTTTTCAGTGGCTGATTTATTTGGAAGAAGATTAGCAAGACTTTCTTTCAAGGAGCCTCTGGAAGGACTTGAAGCTCCAACCTTTCACTTAGCAACCAAATGTGTTAACTGTTTGCACCCATCCAGGAACTCCCAAATTGATTTTGTTGTTGTTGTTAGGTGCCATCTGGTTGGTTCTGACTCAAACTTCGACCCTACGTACAACAGAAAAAAAATACTGCCTGGTCTCAAGCCATCCCCACAATCATTACCATGTTTGAGCCCATTGCTGGAGTCACTGTGTCAATCCATCTCGTGGAGGGTCTTCTTCTTTTTTGATGACCTTCTACTTTACCAAGCATGATGCCTCTCTCCAGGAACTGGTCCATCCTGATAACATGTTCAAAGTACGAGATGAAGACTCAACATCCTTGCTTCTAAAGAGCATTCTGGCTATGCTTCTTCCGACAGTCCATGGTATATTCAATATTCTTTGTCAACACCATAATTCAAATGCATCAACTCTGTGGTCTTTCTTATTCACTGTCGAGCTTTCACCTGCATGTGAGGCAACTGAAAACACCATGGCTTGGGTCAGGCGTACCTTAGCCCTCAAAGTGACATCTTTGCTTTTTAACACTTTAAAGAGGTCTTTTACAGCAGATTTGTCCAATGCAGTAAATACACTGTTAGATTTCTTGACTGCTACTTCCATGGGCATTGACTGTGGATCCAAGAAAAATGAAATCCTTGACAATGTCAATATTGTCTCTGTTTATCATGATGTCGCTTCTTGGTCCAGTTGTGAGGATTTTTGTTTTATGTTGAAGTATAATCCATACTGAAGGCTATAATCTTTGATCTTCATCAGGAAGTGCTTCAAGTCCTCGTCACTTTCAGCAAGCAAGATTGTATCATTTGCATATCACAGGTTAAGGAGTCCTGCACCAATCCTGATGCTGTTCTTCCTTCTATAGTCCAGCTTATCGGATTATTTGCTCAGCATACTGATTGAGTAAGTATGCTGAAAGGATACAACCCTGACATATAGTTTTCCTGATTTTTAAACGACGCAGTACCTCCTTGTTCTATACAAACAACTGTCTCTTGGTCTATGTACAGGTTCTGCATGAGCACAATTAAGTGTTTTGGAATTCCCATTCTTCGCAATGTTATCCATAATTTGTTATGATCCACACAGTCAAATGCCTTTGCATAGTCAATAAAACACACGTAAACATCTTTCTGGTATTCTCTGCTTTTAGCCAAGATCCATCTAACATCCATAATGATATTCCTAATTCCACATTCTCTTCTGAATCCAGCTTGACTTTCTGGCAGTTCCTTGTCGATGTGCTGCTGCAACCACTCTTGAAATTATCTTCAGCAAAATTTTACTTGATATTAATGATATTGTTCAGTAATTTCCGCATTCCCTTGGATCATCTTTCTTTGGAATAGGCATGTACATGGTTCTCTTCTAGCCAGTTGTCCAGGTGGCTATCTTCCAAATTTTTTGGCATAGACAAGTGAGCACTTTCAACACTGCATCCATTTGTGGAAACATCTCAACTGGTATTTCGTCAATTCCTGGAGCCTTGTTTTTCACCAATGCCTTCAGTGCAGCTTGGACTTCTTCATTCACTACCATCGGTTCTTAATCATACGCTACTTCCTGAAATGGCTGAATGTCGCCCAATTCTTTTTGGTACAGAGATTCTATGTATTCCTTCCATCTTCTTTTGATGCTTCCCGCGTCACTCAATTTTTTGCCCATCTGAAAAACCAAACCTGTTGCCATCAAGTTGATCCCAACTCATAGCTACCCTACAGGACAGAGTAGAACTGCCCCACAGGGTTTCCAAGGAGTGGCTGGTGGATTCGAGCTGCCAACCTCTTGGTGAGCCGCCGAGCTCTTAACCACTGCGTCACCAGGTCTCCTTTTTTGCCAACAGAATCCTTCAATATTGCACCTTGAGACTTGAATTATTCCTTCATTTCTTTCAGCTTGAGAAATGCTGAGCATCTTCTTTCCTTTGGTTTTCTAACTCCAGGTTTTTGCATATTTCATTATAATACTTTACTTTGTCTTCTCAAGCCATTCTTTGAAATCTTCTGTTCAGCTTTTTTACTTCATCATTTCTTTTGTTCGCTTCAGCTACTCTGTGTTCCAGAGCAAATTTCAGTCTCTTCAGACATCCATTTTGCTCTTTTTTGCCTTTCCTCCCTTTTAAATGACCTTTTGCTTTCTTCATGTGAATGACCTTGATGTCCTCCCACAACTCATCTGGTCTTTGGTCATTAGTGTTCAACATGTAAACTCTATTCTTGAGATGATCTCTAAATTCAGGTGGGATATAGTTAAAGTTGTACTTAGGCTCTTGTGGACTTGTTCTAACTTTCTTCAGCTTCATCTTGAACTTGCATATGAGTAATTGACTGTTCTGCAGTCAGCCCCTGGCCTGACTGATGACATTGAGCTTCTCCATCATCTCTTTCCATAGATGTAGTTGATTTGATTCCTGTGTATTCCATCTGGCGAGGTCCACGTGTATAGTCGACTTTTATGTTGTTGAAAAAAGGTATTTCCAATGAATAAGTTGTTGGTCTTGCAAAATTCTATCATGCAATCTCTAGCACTGTTTCTATCACCAAGGCCATATTTTCCAATTACTGATCCTTCTTCTCTGTTTCCAACTTTCACAATCAAATCACCAGTAATTATCAATGCATCCTGATTGCATGTTTGATCAACTTAGACTGCAGAAGTTGGTAAAAATCTTCAGTTTCTTCATCTTTGGACTTAGTGTGCAAATCTGAATAACAGCTGTATTAACTGATCTTCCTTGTAGGCATAAACATATTATCCTATTACTGACAGCGTTGTATTTTAGGATAGATCTTTAGATGTTCTTTTTGATGATGAATGTGACACCATTTCTCTTCAATCTGTCATTCTCAGCATAATAGACAATATGATTGTCTGATTCAAAACGGCCAATACCAGTCTATTTCAGCTCACTAATGCCTAGGATATCGATCTTCAAGGGTTCCATTTCATTTCTGACAACTTCCAATTTTCCTTGATTCATACTTTGTACATTCCATGTTCCAATTATTAATGGATGTTTGCAGCTGTTTATTCTCATTTTGAGTCAAGCCACATCAGCAAATGAAGGTCCTGAAAGCTTGACTTCATCCATGTCATTAAGGTCGACTCCACTTCGAGGAGGCAGCTCCTCCCCAGTCGTCTTTTGAGTGTCTTCCAACCTGAGGGCTCAACTTCCAGCACTATATCAGACAATGTTCCACTGCTATCCATAAGGTTTTTATAGGCCAGTTTTTTCAGAAGTAGCCCACCAGGTCCTTCTTCCAAGTCTATCTTAGTCTTGAAGCTCTGCTGAAACCTGTCCACCATGGGTGACCCTGCTGGTGTCTGAAATACTGGTAGCATAGCTTCCTGCATCAGAGCAACACACAAGCCACCACAGTAAAACAAACTGACAGATGAGTGGTAGCAAAAAAAAAAATCTATAGCAGAAACTAAAAAAAAAACTTAGTAGGGCTTGAATTAGGGTTAGGAAACAAGTAAAATACAGATGGGTGGAGAGGAAAGTAAGGAAACCAATCCAAGTAAGGAAAACAGGATGAAAACAGCATGAATAGGGGCTCAAAAGTGGAAGTACCCATGGTACATTCAAGGGATAAATTATCACACTGACTAGACCAGTGTATTTGTAAAGGATAGTAATAGCAAATAATGCTATAGATTAGATTAGATTAGATGAGATAGAAACAAAAAGATAGATACATACAGGGCAATACTAAACGAGAAAGATTTGGACTGTAAATCTAACCTAATAATGAAAATCTAATAACGTTAGGATAGATATTCTTAGCTAAAATGAGGGTGTTCAGAAGATATCCTTTTTTATCTTATGATTGTTGTTACTTGTTGTCCAGTCAGCTCCAACTCATGGCAACCTTATGTATAACAGAACATAACGTTTCTGGTCCTGTGCCATCTTCATGATCATTGATATGTTCTAGTCCATTGTTGCGGCTATTGTGTACTGTCTTCTAATCTAACGGGCCCATCTTCCAGCACTATACAGGACAATGTTTTGTTGTGACTCACAAGGTTTTTATTGACTGATTTTCAGAAGTAGGTCGCCAGGCCTTTCCCTCTACTCTGTCTTAGTCTGGAAGGTCTCCTGAAACCTTTCCACCATGGGTGACCCTGATGATATTTGACATACTGGTGGCATAGCTTCCAGCATTATAGCAACACACAAGCCACCACAGTAGGTTAAACTGTCAGACAGGTGGTGACTATATAAGCTTAAACAGAATTAAATATAACTGAACAATTTCCAGGAATTTCTTATGGTTTCTATTCTGAAGGCAAGAAACCAAACATCCAAAAAAAAAAAAGAACAAATTAGTTAACTTTCCATATTAAACTTACCAGATCTTCAGGAGTTGCCCGATGGACTGTTAGATCATTCACAGTATTCTGCAAAAAAAGACAGTCTTTCTTTAAAAAATAGGTTTTCTTTTTTTTTTTAGCATGCACTGCATTTTAATGGCTGAAAAAGGATTCAAAATTCTGGGACCAGAGAGTTCTTTCCAGGAATCAGTATTCTTAATTTAAATATTAACACAGACTATTTTTAAGCGTCTTACAGAAAATAAGCACTAAATTCACCAAGCAGGTACATATTAGCTTAAAACAATGAATATGACAAGGTAAGAGACTTGGTAGCACAGCAGTTAAAGCACCCAGTAGCTAACAGAAAGGTTGGTGGTCTGAAACCACTAGCCACTCCACTCCGCAGGAGAAAGACGTGGCAGTCTGCTTCCACAAAGATCACAGCCTTGGAAACCCTACAGGGCAGTTCTACTCTGTCCTATAGGGTCACTATGAGTCAGAATCGACTTGCCAGCAACAGGTTTGGTTTTTTGGTTTATAACATGGCAGCATATAAGTCAAAATAAGTAAGTTTAACTAAAGCTTTAGTTTTCAAACTGTATTCCATGGGATGGCAGGATTCTATGAGGCAACTCTATGAAGATTTCTAAACTAAAGTATGGTCACTGTAACTCAAACCCAGTTGCCGTCGAGTCAATTCTGACTCATGGTGACACCATCTGTGTCACAGCAGAACTGTGCTCCATAGGGTTTTCAGTGGCTGAATTTTTGGAAGTAGATCACCAGGCCTTTCTTCCAAGGCACCTCTGGGTGGACTCAAACCTCCAACCTTTAGGTTAACAGACGACAGCATTAACCATTTGCACCACCATGATCACAACAGAGAGATTCAATTTCTGGCCATACAGACACCTTAAGCATAGAACCCACCATAATGACAGATAAGGTTCCAGAGCATTGTATAATTTCAAAAGAATTGCAAATAGTCACTTTAGTAAAAGAGGCATTTAACCAACATGGCAGGGCCACCATATTTCACAACTCCAGGAGGTGTCATTAACATCTCAGTAAACAGTACCCCCTGGAATTGTGCAGTGCACAGCCCGCACCACTCTAAGCAGTGGCCTTGCAACCTGATCCTTTCCAGAATGAATTCAGCCATTCTGCTACTCAGAGTTAGTAAGGCAGGAAATAAAACAAGTTAGAGTTTTACTTCTAAATGATGACAAGTACAAAGACAACTGAGTCTAGTGAAATAGCTTCTGATGTATTAAAAGACTCAACTTTTTGGCCACAGTTTATATCTAGCTCAAGTGTTTACTATACTAAAACACTTATCCCTCTTACATTTATTTATAAAAGGACAAGGCACAAATATAAGGTAATGAGATTATTTTTAATAACAACCATAATAAAATCCTGGCATACAGATAAGTGGTAAGCTTGGAATTTGTTCCTATGGGTGAAGATATAATAATTTTATTAATATTGCTTACAACTATTTTCAATAGAATTTCCTTCAGAGCTAATTTACAAGCCGTTCAAGATAATATCTTATATCACAACAGTATTATTCAACTTGATTTCTCTTCCATCATTCACCAGACTTTGCACCGTATAACTTCTGACTACTTCCCAAGGTCAGTCTACCTTCAAAAAACACAGATTTTTTTCCAGCATTGGAGACAACAAAAAGTAAACGAGGAAAGCAATTTCAAATGATGGGTTTCAATTATGTTTTGAGCAACAGCAGCATATCAGAATAAATAATGAACTTCCCAAAGTGACTAGTGTGAAGGGGACAATACTTATCACATACTTTTTTTCCCCCTTTTAGTCAGTCATTTCCTTAGAGTCACACCCTTATAATATTTTATAGCCAACTAGATGGCAACAAAATAATCTAAGCACAGAGAAGTCCCACTGCCCCATCTCTAAATGCTGGCAGTTTGCCAAGGACATCTGGCTAAGGTGGCTGGCCACAAGCCGGAAGGTTCTAAGTCAAAAGAATCCCTGAGATACAAACTAGTTCCTGACTAGTTACTTTCCACACGGGAAGTGAAGGGATCTCCCGGTCTAAACTAAAGTACCAGGCTACAAAAGATATACGTCCCCTTGGTAATAACATGGGGCACTCAGGGCAGGAATCAGGGATCATATGACCCAAAGGCACTGGAGACGTGTGTTGTATCTCAAGAAGAACCTTTGTACTGAAATTGATCAGCCTCTGGATGTGAACAACAAACAATCTAAGGGGTAAGAAAGCAAGGATCACCCGCTTTTCCAGCCAAAATGCCAATCACATGACTAGAGTATCACTGATTTCTATGCGTAAGCCTATAAAAGGTACCAAAAATTTCAGAGTTCAGTGATCAGGTTAGCTAAAGGTGCCCTAAAGCAGGAGTTCTCTATCAAAGCTGAGATGGAGGACTTTTTTTTTTAAAGACACATTGCAGACCCACTTAAGATTCCAATTCTTCAGATAAGGTAGGGGTGATAGCCTGGATATGTGTGTTCTAAAAAAGTTCCCCAAAGGATTCTGTTCTTACCCTCCAAGGCCTACGATGTAACTATGCCTGGAAACTCATTCTGCCCTATTACATACTGAGCCCCATTCAAAGCACTGTTTGAATGACTAGGGCCATGGTACCATGTTACTATTGCTCCGGAATAACATTATGGTGTTATATTATGCCACCTAGACTTACATCCCATTCTTGCTTCACTGAAGGTTTCTTCTTCTTTACTTTCAGTGCTTTTCTTCCCACTCCCCGGGGAGCATAACGGTTCACTCTGACAAACGACATCTAGGAGTAATAGTCACATTAAATTTTTAAAATACAAGAAAAAGTACTAATTAAGCAACACCAAAGGGGCGAAAAGACACCTGGGAAGTATAAAATAAATATTAACACGTCAGCGGAAAAATGTACAACAAAAGGAACCAAAAAACAAACCCAAACCCATTGCCATCCAGTCGATTCCAACTCATAGTGACCCTACAGGACAGAGTGGAACTGCCCCATAGGGCTTCCAAAGAGCAGCTGGTGGATTCAAACTGCCAACCTTTGATTAGCAGCTGAGCTCTCAACCACTGGCAACAAAAGGAACAGGCTACCAAAATACTTGGTTCTCTTACTTCACCATTAACAGAAAGTTAATACCGATAATTATAGTACAAGAGGTCTCAAGTCATTAAGTACTTGTTTAATAAAGAACTCTAGGAACACAGAAGTTATTATCTAAAACAGAGAATAGAACAGTAGTCATAAGTTTTCTCACTGACCACACAAATTCACAACCAACAGAGAAAACGCCAGTCACATGCTAAGAATATGAACACAAGGAGGCGAGGGGAAGACAAAAGAGAGTTAGGGTTCTTTTTAAAATACTCTCAATCACTAGCAGGTACAAATGTGCTTATACCTTAAAATAAAGAAGCTAAACTCCAGAGAACAATGAGCTATAACACCATTTCCAGCATCTCTCTCACATGATAATGGAATAGCATGATTTTTCTAGTTTGATTATTCATTTTAAATTAGAATTTGTAAATTGCCAACATTCGCTTGGCACTCTTAAAAGAGCAATGCTAAGAACACTGGACTAAACATTATACAAAACTAGAGAAAAGCCTACAGCCCCTAAACACTAGGATTTTATAATGCATAAACATAACTAAAAAGAGCAACACATACATGACTCCTATTCCAGAACCTCCTTACGCACCTAAATAATTACACAACTTTCCAGCTGATCGTTCTCCAAATTATCCTAAAACAAAAATTCTAGTATTCTCCTTAAGTATTTTTTTATTAAAAAATCATTTAGCTTACTATAATAAAGGCGCCTAAATGCAAGTCTTAAGAGCTTGCCCTTAATTTTCTTCACTCTCTGTTCATTCTCTCTCAACTCTTATTCACTCTTTAGCACTGTATCAAATTTCAAGGGGTTTATAATCTACCAAGGAGATAAGCCACATACAAGTTGGAGAATAATATTTTAGTTGTATATGTCTGACGGGGAGGGTGATGATGACGATGGTGACGGTGGTGGTGGTGACAGCAGCGGATAACACATACTGAGTGCTTCCTACATGACAGGTACGGTTCTGCTCTTCACATGCATTTTTCCTTTAATCTCACAGGAACCCCATGAGGTACTTACTACTTATTACCCATTTTAGAGATGAGAAAACTGAGGGACAAAGAGTTAAACTGTGAAGGTCACAGGGCTAATAAGCAGCAGAGCCATAAATACCATAAAATGACATGAAATGAAATAGAACTGAAAATCCAAAAATAAAACTCACAACTGATTTTCGACAAGGGTGTCCAAATAAATGAATGAGGAAAGAAGAGTCTTTTCAACAAACATGCTAGGATAATTAGATATCCACATGAAAATGAATGAAGTTACACCCCTACCTCGCATACAAAAATTAACTCGAAATAAAGCATAGGCTAAAATGTAAGTACTAAAACTACAAAACTCTTAGAAGAAAACATAGGAGTAAACCCTCATGTCTTGGGTTAGGCAATGATTTCTTAGAATTAGATATGACACCAAAAGCTCAGGCAACAGAAGGAAAAAAAGACATACTGCACTTCATCAAAACTAAAAACTTCTGTGCTTCAAAAAATACCATCAAGAAATGGGAGAAAATATACGCAAATCAAATATCTAATAAGAGACTTGCATTATAAACATATAAGATCTTACAGCTCAACAATAAAAAGCCAAATAACCCAACTTAAAAATGAGTCAAGGATGTGAATAGACATTTCTCCAAAAAAGATACAAATGGCTAACAAGCACATGGAAAGATTCTCAACATCATTAGTTATTAGGGAAATGCATACCAAAACCACACTGAGAAACAACTTTGTAACCACTAGGATAGTATTGGTGAGGATGTAGAGAAATTAGAAACTTAATCATTGCTGGTGGGAATGTAAAATGGTACAGCCACTTTGGAAAACAGTCTGGCAGTACCTCAAAATGTCATCCAGCAATTCCACTCCTAGGTATATACCCAAGAGAAGTGAAAACATATGTCCACACAAAAATCTGTATAAAAATGTTCATAGTAGCATTATTCATAATAGACAAAAAGTAGAAACAACCCAAATGTCCATAAATGATGAATAAAAAATGTGCTATATCCAGTGGTGATAGCTGTACAACTCTGTGAATATACTACAAACCCCTGAATTGTATACTTTAAGTGGGTAAATTTTATGGTATATAATTTTATCTCAAAAAAGCTGTTATAACAAAAGATTGGAAAAACCTGAAAGTTGTTCAAAGAAAGGATTCTGATGTATTTTACTCTTTAATCACTTAGACTTTCAATTTACTCTGCAGAAGCAATCTATATAATGAATTATGCGTCCATTAAAATTATATTAAGAAGAATGTTAAATGACACAGGAAAATACATAAAAAGTGTAAAATGCAAAATACAGAACTACGTGTATGGTATATTCTCAAAGATACATATTTACATACACACACACATATATATATGAATATATACATACATATGTATATATATATATATATATATATGTATATCTTGACCCTATAGGACAGAGTAGAACTGCCCCATAGAGTTTCCAAAGCTGTAAATCTTTACGGAAGCAGACTGCCGCATTCTTCTCCCCTGGAACAACTGGTGGGTTCAAATCGCCAACCTTTCAGTTAGCAGCCGAGCTCTTAACCGCTACACCACCATGACTTCATATATATATATATATATATAAAATTAATAAAGCAAGCACTTATTCTGTGCTAAGTGCTTCACATTTAATCCCACAAACCCTGTGAGGTAGGTACTAAGCATAGCGTTAACAGTACAGAGTATGACACCAGACTGACTGGATTCACATCCCAGCTTTGCCACTTACTATAAAATGGAGCTAAATATTTGCAAGGTGCATGGCGCCCCTGCCTAGCACACACTAAGGCCTATTTAAGGACTGATGATGTTGATGACAACGACAACAGCTATTAGATCCCTTTCCCTACTGAGAAATATGGGGCTTGTAGAGATTAAATCTAAGTCATAGCTAATGGGCAGCATTGGGAACTGGCCTCAGATCCAGGTCTGACTGTACAGCTCATGCTGGAAAACCTGGCTAGAGGTGGGTTCTCTCTGGCTGGCTCTATATTTTCCAAACTTTCTACAATGAACCTATGTTACTCTTAAAAATAGGGGGAAAATTATTTCAAGTTATAATTTTAAAAAAACTATACTTATTCAGAGGCTGAAATTCCATCAGCTCAATTCTGAAAAACCAGTCATGAATCTCAAGCATGCACAGGCTGATGAATAGTCAAAAACAGCTGTCAACAGGCCTGCATTCTTGTTTCTTTCATAGGTGAAGCCCTCAACTAAAACAATATCAAAAATTCAGGAAAAGAACTAGTTAAGCCATTTTTAAAGCAATGGTGGCTTCTGATGTATGTTTGTTTTTCAGTAAAGCAATATAAAAATTAATGTAAACATTACCAATGATAGTGACTATATTTTTCTTAACCAAGAATCAAACTTTGTGGTCTAACAAAGAAATGCTGTGCCACTGATGAGGCCAGAGGCCATAAGGGTGCTGTAGTTTGCATGCTGAAATGTGGAACTGCAGCAATATTCTTACGGTTCACAGTGCTATGGAATCAAAATAATAAAACTAGCACAACCCAGAAAATCCAGACTTAAAGAAAATCTGAAATACTAATTTAATACTAATATTAATACCAATTTCCTAGTTGCTATCCTCTTCTTCTCAGGCACCCACCGGGCCCTCCTTACGTACTCCTTAATCAAGGGTCTTCACCCAGTTCTATCCCTAGCCCTTTTTGTCTTTCCACTGGGCACCCTCTCTCCTCATCCATCGTTTTTGAGAGCTTACCACACACCAGGCGCTACCTGGGCACTGGAATACAATAGGAAACAAGCCTAATGTGGTGCCAGGTCTCCTGGAGCTTACTTTCTAGATCACCAACGAGGGCTTCACACTCTCCCTCTGTGATCTCATCTACTCCTGAGAGAAGCTATGAATGAATCTGGCACAAAAACACACTGTGAAAATGAGTCCCAATTCCACGATTCACACCTTTCCTCAAAGTACCAAACATTCATTTCTAACCATCTACTGTGCACACCCCCAAATACCTCAAATACAGTATAGCCAAAACACAGCTCAGCATCCTCCCATCCCCAACCCCTGGTTCTGAATATGTAACTGGCTTGCTTAGGAAAAGTCTGCCGGATTAAGCTGAACTGGCAGCATTACCACCCCTCCAGTTACTCTGATTTAAATCTTAGCATACACTTGTTTCTTCAGGTCTCTTAGCCAGTCAGATACCAGAACCTATTCTTTCCCTAAAATACCTCTCCCATCGGTTTCCTCTCCTCCATCTCTACTACGAATGTTCTTGTCCAACCTCTCATTATTTCTTCTGACTGGTTTCTCTTTCCCTCATTCACTCACTCTAGCATCCATGTATTCCACAGATACTTTGGAAGCGCATGCTGGGAGCTAGGCACTGGAGACAGCAAGAACGGACTGCAATTAAACAAGTGGTTACATTCAACGAGTAACGTAAGAAGTAAATTCAGTGAGCCTTGGAAGCGCCTCATCTACGCAGCGCATTGAGAGAATGTCCCCTCCCGTCCCCAGATGTTCCAGGCAAGGAAAGGTGTTTACAACGGCCTGGAGAAGTAGAGCTTGACTAGTCGTATCTCGTTCGTCTTTGCACCCTCAATTCCAGCCCAGCCAACAGTGCCCGCACCAGTGCGCACGCGCACCACGCAGGGCGCTCCTAATAAGCGCACCACACACTGCCCTAGACGCCCGTCGTGACACGCATACACTCGCCAAACGCACGGAAGCGCGGCGGCGCTTTCGGTAGTAAGTATCCCTATAGCAGGCACCTGCATCCCCGGAACAGAAAGGGGGACGCCACCACCGTTCTCCCGACCCCACAGCCTCGGGCCCTGAGGATCGGCGGTGTGCGGGCTGCAGGCCTCCAGCCCGCCATCGGAACCTGCCTTGCCGTTTCCCAGCCGCCGCCTTCACGGACACAAAAACTCCAAGATCCAGATCCGCCTGGCCCGCCACAGACCAAAGCAGCTCGCCGCTTCCGGCATGTTGCCTGGGTGACCGGAGCCCCGCCCACTCCCTTGCGTATATCCGGCGAGTCCCGGTCATAGGCGCCCTGAAAGTCAGCTTTGGGTTTTGCAATGAGGGTTTCAGCGCCTTTTGCTTTCTCGCAGCGCCCCCTTCTGGAGCTTTCAGGACAAAGCTTTGGAGAGTAAGCCTGCAGCGTTAGCCGGCGTTCTGGAGAATGTGTTGGAAAGATGTTCCTCTGCACACCAGGCTTCACATACCACACTTAACTGCCTTCACCTCTATTCGTTTATTCAAAAAAAGTCTGTTAGCACCTACTGATGTGCCAGAGACTATGTTAGATTCAACAGGAGTAAAAATAGGCAAGGTCCCTGCTCTCATGAAGCTTACAACATAATAGAAGACAGTTGATAGCCACACAAACATAACACTAACATTGTGATGAGTGCTAAGAAGGAGGTCATCCAGTCGATCTCGACTCATGGTGACCCCATTATAGGAATATTTGAGTTATTCAGGGAAGCTGAGAGGCAAGGATGAGTAAGCGACAGGGAAGGGTAAAGCATCGCTGCAGAGGTAGCCTTATCTGTGTCTAAGACGGAGGTCCCCAGGCTGCCGAAAATTCCACTGCCTCAAGCAGCTTGCGTGGCACGCCCCCTAGCTTTACATTAAAATCCTTGTTCCTTTGCCTGGTATACCCTGTAGCTTTACAGTAAAATTCTGGTTCCCCTCTCCTTAACTGCTGCCCAACTAGAGGAAATTGGCAGAAATCAGTTTAGGCATCATGTTGACATTCAGGATAAACTTTTAGCTCATACATAGTAACTTCCCTGCCTCTGGGTGGAGTTTAACCACCGTTTTTCTGAACCCACCATACATGAAGTTATATGTAAACCCCATTGTGCCTGCGTAGTATAATTAACGAAGTTGCTAATGTAACTTGTATGAACTTACTACCTGTAAACTCCTTCAAAGTAACCTTCCCTCTCCCTTTGCTGAGCAGTCTTGGCGGCGGCTGCCCTGACTCTTCCTTTCCTTGCTCAACGAAATAAAGATGCCTTTCTAGTCTCCTACCTCAGTCTCTCGTTTATTGGCTGAGACAAGTTGCGCTGAGCAGAACCTGGGGTTTCCACCTGAAAAATCTGGAGTTGAGGGAGCAAGAGGAGCTCAGTGTGAGAGGAGGCCCCTAAATAGACCAGAGTTCTGCACAGGCAGAGCTGTGTAGGCCTTGTAAAAAACAAAAACAAAAACAAAAAAACCCCAATGCCATGGAGTCGATTCTGACTCATAATGACCCTATAGGACAGAGACTGCCCCATAGGGTTTCCAAGGAGTAGCTGGTGGATTCGAACTGCCAACCTTTTGATTAGCAGCCAAGCTCTTAACCACTGTGCCATTACGGCTCCAGGCTTTGTGAAGGACCTTACAAAGTCTCAATATTGTGAAGATGTCAGTTCTTCTCAACTTGATGTATAGATTTAATGCAAACTCATACAAAATCCCAGTAAGTCATTTTGTGGATATTAACAAACTGATTCCAAAGTTTATATGGAAAGGCAAAAGACTCAGTAGCCAGCACAATATTGAAGAAGGAGAACAAAGTTGGAGCACAGACATCTACCTGACTTCAACACTTACTATAAAGCTACAGTAATCAAGACAGTGAAGACTAGAGAACTATAGATCAATGGAACAGAATAGAAAGCCCAGAAATAGACCTACACGAATATAGTCAACTGATCTTTGACAAAGAGCAAAGGCAATTCAATGGAGAAAGGATAGTCTTTTCAACAAATGGTGTTAGAACAACTGGACATCCACATGCAAAAAAAAAATGGCTCTAGCCACAGACCTTACACTTTCTACAAAAATTAAATCAAAATGGATCATAGAGCTAAATGAAAAATGCAAAACTATAAAACTTCTGGGTGATAACATAGAAAATCTAGGTGACCTAGGGCTTGGCAATGAGTTTTTAGATACAACACCAAAAGTATGATCTATGAAAGAAAAAACTGATAAGTTGGACTTAATTAAAACCAAAAACTTCTGCTCTGCAAAAACTCTGTTAAGAAAATGAAAAGATAAGCCACAGACTGGGAGAAAATATTTGCAAAACACATATCCGATAAGTGATTTGTATCCAAATTAAGCAAAAAAAGCTCTTAAAATTCAGTAATAAGAAAACAACCTAATTTTTTTAAATGGGCAAAAATATCTAAACAGACTGCTCACCAAGGAAGATATACAGATGGCAAGTAAGCAAATGAAAAGATGCCCAACATCATATGTCAATTGGAAATTGACAATTAAAACAATAATGAGATACAACTACAAACCTATTAGAATGGCTAAAATCTAAAACACGGATAACACCAAATTCAAGGACGATGCAGGAACTCTCCTTCATTACTGGTGCAAAGCAAAATGGTACAGCCACTTTGGATGGTAGTTCGACAGTTCCTTACAAAATTTCCTAAAGCCACCAATAACATAATAAAAGTTAAATTTAAGAGTCTACATGGGAGGTAAAATGGGATGATAATAATAATAATAATTTGATTAATCAAAAGCAGGCAGAAAAAGGAAACGAAGACCAAATGGGATAAATAGAAAACAAATAGCAAGATGATAGACATATCAATAATCACATTAAATCTAAATGGTCTAAATACCTAAATTAAAAGACAGAGATTGTCAAATTGGATTTTTTAAAAATTTTGCTGCCTACAAGAAACACATGTTAAATATGAAGATACAAATAAGTTTAAAGATGGAAAAGGATGTATCATGCTAAAAAACCAAACCAGACGTGTTACCATAGAGCTGATTCCAACTCATAGCAACCCTATAGGACAGGGTAGAACTACACCATAGTGTTTCCAAGGAGCAGTTGATAGATTTGAACTGCTGACCTTTTGGTTAGCAGCTGAGCTCTTAACCACTACACCACCAGGGCTCCAAATCATGCTAACACTAGCCAAAGAAATTTGGAGTGACTATATCAACATCAGACAAAGTAGATTTCAGAGCAAAGAATATTACCAGGGATAAAGGTATTTCATAATGGCAAAGGTATCATTTAATCAAAAGAACATAGCAATTCAAAACATTTATGTACTTAAAAAATAATACAGCTTAAAAATACATGAAGCAAAAACTGATAGTACTACAGTGGAAAGTAGATAAATCCACAATTACAGTCAGAGATTTCAATGCCTCTTCCTGAAAAACTTATATTACAAGTAGGCATAAAATCAGCAAGCATAAAGTAAATTTGAACAACACTAACCACCATCTTGAACTGACTGATATTTATAGAACATTCCTCCCAACAACTAGCAGAATACACATTCTTCTCAAGTGAATATAGAACATTTAGCAAGGTGGACAATAATCTGAACCATAACACAATTTAAATAAATTCAAAAGGATTCAAGTCATACACGGTATGTTCTCTGACCACAATGTAATTAGAAATCAATAACAGAATGATCCTTGGAAATTTAAAAATTTGAGAAAAAAATAATGTTTTAAATAAATCAATGATTAAGCAAGAAATCAAAACAGAAAATAGTATGCAGTTTGAATTGAGTGAAAATGAAAATACAATATACCAAAATTTGTGGGATATAGCTAAAGAAGTACTAAGAAACCTACGCTAGAAAATTAAGAAAAATCTCTAATTAATGACTGCACCTTCTACCTTAAGAAACAAGAAAGGGAAGAGCAAGTTAAATGCAAAGTAACGAGAAGAAAGGAAATAATAAAGATCAAATCTGAGTCAATGAAATATAAAAATGAAAAACAACAGAGAAAATTAATGAAACCAACAGCTGAACCTTGGAGAAGATCAATGAAATCGATAAGCCTTTAACTGGACTGATCAGGAAAACATTACACATAAATTACTAATATCAAGAATGAGAGAGATAGCAGCACTACTGATTATTCAAATATTAAAAGAATATTAGAACATTTTAAAGAACTTTACGCTAGTAAATTTGACAGCATAAATAAAATGGACAAATTCCTTGAAAGAAACAAATTAATAAAGCTTACTCAAGAAGAAATAGATGATCTTGTATCCACTACCATCTCTCAGTTTTATATACTGTGGTGGCTTGCATGTTTCTATGATGCTGGAAGCTATACCACCAATATTTTAAATACAAGCAGGGATACTCACAGTGAACAGGTGTCCGTGGAGCTTCCAGATTAAAACAGACTAGGAAGAAAGGCCTGGTGATCTACTTCCAAAAATTAGCCAAAGAAAAGCTTATGAATCACAGCAGAACAATGCCCAGCTCTCTTGCTTTGGACATCCTCTAGGGTCAATTGCTGGAGGAGGACATTATGTTTGGTAAAATAGAGGGCCAAAGAAGGTGAGGGAGACCCTTGGTGAGATGGATTGGCACAATAGTCTCAACATTGGACTTGAACATGTCAGAGATTATGAGGATGATACAGGACTGGGCACTGTTTCATTCTGTTGTACACAAAGTTGGAATCGACTCAATGGCGGGTATATCTATCTATCTCTATTAAAGAAATTTAAATTGCCATCGATAACCTTCCCACAAAGACAACTACTGGCCCAAATAGCTTCATAAGTGAATTCTGCTAGACATTTGAGGAAGAAATATTGCCAATACTACACAAACTCTTACAAAAAATTGAAGAGAAAAGAATATTTCCCGACTTATTCTGTGAGGCCAGCATTACTCTGATATTTAAAGTAGAGGGAGGTTTGTAAGAAAAGAAAACTGTAAACTGATGTCTCCCATGAACTTAGATGCAAAAAATGTAAACAAAATTTTAACAACTCGAAGCCAACAACACGTTAAAAGTGGGGCTTATTTTGAAAATCAATCAGTGCAATTCATCAAATTAAAAACTAAAAAAAAAGTATGATAATCTCAGTAGATGCAGAAAAAGCATTTGACAAAATACAGCGTTCATTCTTAAAAACTGTCAACTAACTAGGAACAAAAGGAAATTTCCTTAACTGATAAAGTGCATC